ATAAACCAGGTCTCCTGGTGGGACGCAGATTAGGGCGTCCCTGAGGATGGGCATCTCAACGGGTCAGTCTCAGTATTTCTGCGTCTCACACTGACCAGCAGCACATCCTCTTTCTGCAGCGTAGCCGGTTTCAGTGTGTCGTGAATCTTTGTAACGGAGTAGCCAAATCTGCTTGTAATCATTTCCAAAGGTTATAGATCATGAGCTCTGAACCCTGTACTGCTTCCTGCTCTCCTCACAAGCAGCACACTGTAGTTACACGTTCATGTGGCACAAAAATGATCATGGAAATTAGCCAAAGTCGTCATGTTAAAAGACACCTAATGGGTAAAGCTTCATGATGTTTGCTGTCGCTTTAACCCTTGTATTATGTTCCGGGTCAATTTGACCCATTTTGATTTTCGAGCTGTCGGAAATGTCAGTTAATCTGTGATTTTTATTCTTGATATTTTGTGACTTTTTCTCATTTAGGGCCATGAACATGCATGCAAAGTGAGGATATACTGATGTGTTTTGAAGTGCACACAAATAATTTTTTGACGATTTGGATGTTCGCGGGTCAATTTGACCCACTTTTCTTTTCTTTTCTTTTTTTTTCCAAGGCAACTGTACAGACCCAAATTAAATATATTTCTTGGGTATATGTTGTTATGTTGGTGTTTTACTACCCTGGAAAGGGAAAAAGGAGCTTTTCTTATTATTTTCAATGCCGAAAAAGACTTTCTCAGACTCCGATGGTAAAAGTGAGCTATCATTTCTATTTTCAATGTATACTAAATACTATTTAACTTAACTTTTTCTTCCAGAAATTGTATAACTTTTTCTCATTTAGGGCCATGAACATGTCTAGATAAGTTGTGTTCCAAATTTGAAGGTGATATAAAAAAAATGAGGTTCCTATGCAATTTTGTTTGGGCGTTATACCAAAACTAGCCACCAGGTGCCATTGAAACTCCACTGATTTTTTAATGTAATTTTTCTGTCACAAATGTATAAATGTTTCTCTCAGTATTACTTCTATCACAAAGTAATTACCAAATATGGAATCTTGAGACTCGGACCTTTCCAACTACATGTATTTTGTCAAGATTATAAAAAGTTTTGATTCTAAAAGACATTTTGTAATACATTTTGTAAAATGACACCCCCCACTAAGGGGGAGGCTCCATTGGCAACATGCACGATTTGTGTCGATTGCAAGTGACGTCGCCCAGCAAACGCTCTCGGAGCGGTTCAGCTCGTATATGTGAACAAACAAGTGATCGCAGACCCCCTTAAAAGTACCCAAAAGCGAACCGTACTCAGACCGCCTCCGGAGGTTCGGTCCGTTTGTGGTTCGATTTCCTCGTGATTTGTGAAAGCAATGAGGTCCCGGTACGCTTTGTATGGAGCAACATAACAGTAATGTTTGAGGTTGACTAAGCACTTTAGTACTTGTATATATTTTTTTTATATTGGGGATTTTTGTATTATATATATTTTTTTACTATATTTTATTATTATTATTATTATTATTTATTGATGTCATTTCAGACGTTCAATCTCTTGTTACATTTTTCAAAAATAAGTAAATAAACCAGCTGTTAACTCGAGCAATACAAAATAACTATTTTGTCATTTATGTAATCTACGGATAACTGTGCATTAAATTATTTAATGCATGCATCGTTAAGTAGTCTCGTCATGACAAAGGCAAAGAACCACCCGACGCGCAGCGGAGATCTAGCATTCTGCCCGCTTTAAATCAGACAAATACATGAAGTAGCGCGGTAAGATCACATTTATTTGAAAGCATTTATTTGAATTAATTATCAAGAAGAGAGAGTGAGAGATGAAAGTTGTGTGTGTGATTTGCGTCTGTGCGTCTCATTCTGCAAAAGTGAAGCTGTGAATTTCATTACTTCAAAACATCAATTTTACCCCCTAGTTGCTGAGAAATATTGCGATTCAGTATCGAAGCCACTACATTAATAAAACTTGCGCAGAAACGTTGACAACAAGTGCATGCTCATGAATATTTCCGTGTGTGAGCGCGATCTTTGATCTGTGTGTCTCTGCAAGTGATGTGTGTGTGTATGCGAGTGTGTGTGTGTGTGTGTGTGTGTGTGCGCAAGTGTGTGGGCGTACGACGTCTCATGTGTGTCAATGAAAGCAGCGAAACAATATAGTAGCAATATAAATTTAGTAGCAAAGAAACATTTTAATACTATCTTATCTGAGGAAAAAAGCAAGTTGAATTAACTTTATACATAATATTCCCTTTTAATTTAAAATGTGACTTCTGGCATTGTTAAAGTTCTGCAAATGTCTTGACCGGTGTCTTGATCAGGGATTGCCAGCTCTTCCTCACCCTCTTCCCTGTCCATTTCATCTTCCAAATTTTCCAGATCAGACTCCAGCATTTCACTGCTGCACACAAAGCTGGATTCTGGGTTCTTATGAAGTTGTGGTGTGAACAAGAAATGGTCTGAGATCACTTCAGTGCTGAAGAGGACCAAGAAAAGAACCGGGTTCTCTTTTGAGTCCACTATATTGTGAACACCAGAAGGACTGAGGTTACTTTTGGCTGGTTCCCTTTCTGGGTCACTTTAAGTGAACTGGATTTGGTTCCTTTAAAATGAACTATATGTGAAAACACCCTTAGACCTTTGCAATGATATATAGTTTGTCATGATTAGATTAGGATTTAACTGTAATATAGTAGTATAGAATATAGTAATATAGAAGTAAACTTCTACCAGCGGGACGGTAACAGTTAAGGGGTTAAAAAATGTGGTTCAACAGATTTTTAAAAAATCATACTTTTTGATATTAATTGTTTGCACTGTGACAAATACTGATATTAATTTTTTTCTGTTCATACCTGATTCCTTCTTGTTTTTAATAATGTGATATTTAGGGAATTGCATTGAAGGCAATTAGCGTCAGTTTGACCCACTCCATCAAAATCGTACCCAGAAATTAAACATAATACAAGGGTTAAATATAAAAGACAAATACTGATATTAATTTTTTTCTGTTCATACCTGATTCCTTCTTGTTTTTAATAATGTGATATTTAGGGAATTGCATTGAAGGCAATAAGGGTCAATTTGACTCGCTCCATTAAAATCGTACCCAGAAATCGAACATAAAAGGGTTAATGACTCTATTGTCTTCTGTATAGCTGCTTTACTGCAGATTTGGATTTGTCTCATATTTAATAAAGTTTGCGTCACTGATTCTGTTATTTTCCTGTGTATTACTGTGAAGTTGCGAAACGATCCATATTGTGTGAAGTGCTATAGAGAGTAAATAGAGCTGACTCTATGTGTTTGTTGTGACACCTGTAGGATAAACAGCAGCCCTGCATAGTCCAAATACAGCGTTTATATTAGAAATGCTGATGTTGTAGTGATGTATTGTGATGTGTGTTTGTTGTGCTTTTTCATGCAGAAAGTGAACGTCTACAGCTGGATCTGCTGAAAGTGGAGCAGCTGGAAGGCAAAGTGAGCGCAGAGCTGCAAACTCTGAGAGATCAGCTCAAGCTCATGACGCAAGAGATCCACACATACAGAGATCTGGACGCTCTCAACGCTGCCGGAGAAGACCACAAGAAGGTCAGGAATCCACCGTTTACACACTTAGCAGCTCTATTAGTTTAATGATTTCGGTTCACTCTGAAATATCAATTTCTGCAAGAAAATTGTGGATTAAAACGGGCAAGGCTTAAAACATGACTTAACCTTCAGTATAGCCAATAAATGTTTAAGTCATCTGAAGCATTGAAATGTAAATTTATGATATTCTTGATTGCTGATGTGTAACATGACTAGTCTTGTGAGATCAGACCATCAGTGTTTCAGTGGGAATCTGCTTTTCACTTTTCTTTCCCAAACTGTCTACAGCGCTTTGATTATATTCTGTCAGGTGATTTGTCTGGCAGATGTTTAAGTTCAGCTGCTCCAACAGTTCAGGTTTCATGATCATGACATCATCTTTTTTTACGTTTTAGCATTGGTGTCTGATTAAAGTTTTAGCAGTTGCAGCTCTTTCATGGGTGAAGTTTTTGTGGAAACAGGCTCTTTAGGGTGAATATTGAGTTTTTCTGTCTCTGTGCTGCAGTACTTCTGTGTTGTTTAGACACAATAATTCTTAGTGTCCGATGGTATCTGTCATTCGCTTTCAGGTTTCATCCACTGTTCTTCTCTTATAACCGTCTCGTATTTTTCTAACACAAAACTAGTTATACAAATTAATAAAAGGGGGATTCAGTTTGCCTAACAGAAGTTTAGGAAGGAAAGATGCTCACCACATAAATGCACATTATTCTTTTTATATACCCATGAAAACAAAAATAATAATTGTCACCACAAAAAAAGAAAAATACAAGAAAAAGACAATCAATCACATTATACCAAATAATGTAATGGATAAGTGCATCGCAGGAAATGGGCATTAGGCTGTTCAATAATGTGAAAAATGGATGTGTGGGACAGTCTTATCTGATGGTCTATAGTTCATCAAACAATGCCCACAGTTGACGCTATCCCTTAGCTGATGAATAATCCAACTATTTGAGATGAATTCACTCCAAACGGTAACAGTTCTCAAGCTCCAGACTTTTCCAAATCAGGTACAGCCATAAGAGTAAGCCAGAAGCCGCAAGCTTACATCCGTCTGGACTTTACATCCATGTTCAGCTCGCAACATGCAGTTAAAGTCACCGATAAAGGGTCCTTCTAAAATACATATAAATAGACTGTATCAACCTTTTAGCATCAAACCCAACATCGCTTATATACACAGATACAATTGCTTAGCATATATCAAACAAGTTCAATAACTTCTTAACTTTATAGCAACAAACATCATCAACAAGGCTAGTTTTTAAATAACAGGAAAGAAAACAAATCCTTACTTTAAGTTGAGCTTAAAATGAAACATTTCCCAACCAGGACATTGCACAAATGCAGTTCAGCCATGCTTTCTACTGCTGCTGTTCTGCTCACTTCCTCTACTGACCCACCTTTACTTAAGGAGCTAATTTAGGCGTCATAGCACACCTAGCGGTGGGGAAGAAAACTACAGATACAAGACTTCGTAACCGGCTTGTCTGTTACACTCTGATGATAAGTCCACTGTTCTCTATTTTGTGTCTACAGTCATAATCATGAAGACTGTTGTTCTTAAAACACCACAGTATTGGGCTGTTAAGGTTACAGACACTCCTGGTAAACAGGCTTCCATGATTTGCCCTTTTTGGACGTCTGACACTCACTCAGTTCACCCATGATTTGTACTAAACACTGCTGAACCCAAATTATACGATATATGAATTAGAGAATAATGACAACGATGAATAAAACATAATCACAATGTTTTTTTTTCACTGTAACCTATTCCATAAATTTATATAAACCCCTATTATAATGGGCATGTAACATCATATAATATAAATGTGGTGGTTGCATCAGTCACTCTTCTAGTGATAGTCTCACAGCACTCACTGTGCCGTTTGTCCCATCAGAGACTGCAGGAGGATCGAGTAACACTCACTCAGAGGAAGGACACATTTAAGAAGATGATACACAAAATCAACGAGGAGTACGAGTCTCTTAAGTACCATTTACAAGAGAACGAGACCCATGTGGAGGTGAGAGACACACTCGTGTCTGCATACACACTCCATCCAGCTTCAGATGTGTTTCTGCTGTTCACTCATAGCTGTGCCGCGCTGAGATTTCACTGACTGTTTCTGTCTAACAGAGGAAACCGATCTGTCCAGACATTGCATTGGGTTGATAAAGACAGAGAACAATCATGATTTCACTGTGTACATTTCTCCCATAATGCCCATGCAGACACTAGCAAGAGCTGCCTCGTCTGAACTGTTTTAGTGCAGGAACCACCCAGTCAAACTCCAGAGATGTGATCTGGTGGGTAATATGTGACTGAGAGAAATGGTTAATCTGTTTACGTGCACTCAATTATTATTCTTTAGTTTGGGTTAAACAAATCAATTTTGCTTGGTTGGAACAGCAGCTACGCTAATTATGTCTCTATTTGTTTCTCTGTTTCTGCTGGGATTGACATCCCGTGGTAACTAGGATTTACACAAGTTTCAGTCTGGACCCAAAACACCTGAGAAGAGATGATACCAACCCTTCATAGGACCTCAGATGATGCCAACCCTGAAACAACATACAGAACTACCACATTTTGCTATAAGTTTGATTGCATCATATAATAATTGCTGTTAATAGTGTTCATCGTCTGTTTGATTAAGTCTTTAATTGATTTTTCCGTACATTTCTGCCATATGTACATTGACTGACAGTCACCACTGATAAGCTACCACTAAATATCGTAGAAACTTAATTTGCTGTAAAGTTGCTTTGCAATGATTTGTATCATGAAAAGCGCTGTACAAATAAACTTGAACTCAAGAAAACGGCTTGTTCCAGTGTTTTTGGAGACAGCAGCATTCTAAAATATTCTGTGAACGCAAACAAGTTTACCTTATTTCATCTTTAAATAGGGGATGATCCCATCACAACGGACCGATGGCAAGCCTTGTCATAAAACAAACCAGTTCAGTTCTCAAAGGGAGATAAATATATTTCAGTCAGTATATTTTCATCAAACGTTTCATCTTCTAATTAATTCAGGGCAGGCACAAGGATCTGAACAAGTTCATCACTGTATGAGATCTTTGTGGAGACATAACAATTCTGGAAATTCAGTGACATCAATGTGATATGAGATCAATAAAATTGTTCTGTGATTGACCTGCATGTCTTCTCACTTAAAATAACATCCACGACAAATTTTGGCTACACAGTACAGTCAATTTGGTTCCTTTTGTTGTTGTTGGATGGATGATGGATGAATGGATGGGGACAGAGTGGACTTCAATTTTTCTATTGGATAATAATAAAGTCAGTCTTATTGTACATTAGTGTCTAACACAGATTATGAGAAGGTATAATTTTAGCCAACCTTTTACCGAAAATAACATAATTTCAATTTTACACCTGTTGTTACATTTTGGGGGCTTAAAAAATCCTGGGGATGGATGTCAGACCCCTGAAACCCACTTAGTCCTGCTATCCATGAATCTGATGTCCCTGACCATTGTTATATATTTCCCAGCCTTAAACCTGGTCTAAGCATTACGTCAAATCCATTTTATTTGTATGGTGCTTTATAGAAGGCACATAACAGTATGACTTTCTGTAAAGCTGCTATGAAGCAGTGTGTATTGTGGAAAGCACTATACAAATAAAGTAGACTTGAGTTGAATTTGAGACTAAAGCTGTTTATCTGCATGACAAGAGCAAAATAGAGCTGAACGGGAGCGCCGCTTTTTGGTGTCATGTAAAGTTTTTCAGGTGTGTTTTGTTGTGTGATTTTATGTTTTGCTGTCTGTTCTCTTTTCAGCTGACCAACATGGAGAAGAAGTGGCAACATCTTGTGCAGAACAACTTTGTGATGAAAGAATGTATCCTTGTATCATGTATGGATCTCTATGGGAAGTGTAAATACAGTTGATGTGTAGCCCTCCTTAACTCTATTGTGCAGTCATCGCCTCCAACGGTGTAGAAAGCGATTACGGCCCAGTGATGAAGAACGTCAACAAACAACTGCTAGAGTACAATAAGATACTGGTTGATACCCTGCAGAGAAACTGAGGAGGGGGAGCACTTCCTGTCTGCAGCTGCTCGCAAACTCACTTCCTGTTCAAGATGAGCCCTGAACAGCATTCTAAAGATGACTTTGAGTGATTGTATTCTAGAATAAGATCCACATTTCGTAATCTCAGGTGTATCACAGTCATGTGTTATCGGTGAGATTCGAGTCATGTCATTAATGTCAGTCACAGAGCTAAATAATTACACTGGTGTGTAATTCATGTGATTTTTTTTCCACATTAAAAGGCTGATTTTATTCATCTTTTTGTTACTGTAAGTGAAACATCACTTTTTATAGTGAAAGCTGAGCTTTGATAGGCGACGCATTTACTGTAACTGTGAAGGCAGGAATCTTAGATTAACAGCAGGAAGATGGAAATATATTCTTTTGACTGATTTCTGTAGAAGTCAATGGAAAATCCCCACTAAAATAAAAAATCAAGTGTGAGTGAGTATACTGGTATTCACTATGTTATGAGGGCCAAATGTCCCCACAAGTAAAGTAATACCAATACATTTTTACCTTGTGGGGACATTTTTTTGGTCTCCATGAGGAAACAAACTTATAAATAATACGGAATGAAGTTTTCTGAATATCTAAATATGCCTGTAGTTTTGTGTGAGGGGTAGGTGTAGATGTAGGGTTAGGGTGAGAGGATAGAAAATACAGTTTGGACAGTAGAAAAACCATTACACCTATAGAATGAACCCATAAAACACGGAAACCTGTGCGTGTGTGGACAGACCTATGTGCGGGTCGACAGAAGGATAAATGGTCCAGAATGATGTATGTTTGTTATATTTGAATTAGGAATGTAACAATTACCGGTTTGATGATAAATCATGATAAAATTCCCCACGGTTAGTATTACCCTTTCATATTTTAATTAGCATTATAACCGTGTTTGATTACCGCGATTTGAACAATTGAGGATAAATAAATACTGTCCATCATAAAGCACAGTTTTAAATAACAGTCTCAGGTGCACACAGCACACAGAGTAGTTTCGTTTTGTGTGAAACATGACAGAAAAGCAGGGAGGTTTTAAAAGAGTGCTAAGGGAATTATACAAATGAATGCAAATGATTAATTATATGAATGTACCCCTGAAGGTTCTGATTGTCTTCAGAAAAGATTCGATGGCATTTTGTTTTCGTCTTCGCTCCATGTAATACCTAATAAAGTAGTGTTTTAATCACAAAGCTGCTTTGTCCTTGGAGGTTACGGGAAACAGCTGTAATTCTGCTGCTCCATCAGCGCCACCTGCTGTCAGAGAGTAGATTGACGGTAGGCTGACGGTGTACAGCCGTCTCTGCCCAGGTCTGGCTCTGAACCCGTTCTGTGTTCGGACACAGAGAGGAAGTCCACCCTACTTCAGTGACTGACCTCATAAATCCTGAAGAATCCTCCTTCATCATTTCCTCTGTGCTTCAGGTCAACTTCTAGTTTACCACTGAACAGACGCTGCTCACCATTAGACACTGATAAGATGGATGTGAGTGATCTGCGTAATTAAAACTCTTTCTAAAAGAGTAATGAGCTTTAGTTGTGACACACTCACACACACACACACACATGTCTGGTTTGCTATCCTTGTGGGGACTCTCCATAGGTGTAATGGTTTTTCTGCTGTACAGACCGTATATTCTATTGCCCTACACCAACCCTACCCCTAAACCTACCATCACAGGTTGTTACTCTGCATTACTGACAGAACAATACAAAACCAGACTAGAGAAACAGAGCACCTTCATTTACATTAGCTAACGCTGGAAGATACACCTGCAGTGTGTTTGTTGATTTCCCAGAAACAATTGAATGACCTGTTCTCGTTCCTCTTCTGCACTCCAGAGTTCATCACTTCATCTCAATGTTTGCAAACTTCACTTGACTGTTGGGTAAACCTGTGAATTATTTGTGTTTTACGGTACTTGTTCTCATCAGTGGAAAGTGTGTTTTAAATAAGATTTGGTTGTGTGCCGTCTGTCCATTCCTTGTTTTTGTTTCTTCTACAGCGTAAGAGTGGAAACCCAAGCGCAACACATGCCGTCCATTTGGATTCTAAAACAAGGTTTTTGTGGTCAACATGCTGCTGCTGCTGAAGATCTCTAGCATGTTCTGATGTCAGCCCGAGGCGTCTGAGTCTGTCAATGAAATCTGAATGTCATCAATCATTCAAAATATGTTTATAAAATCGCAGTAAAACAGACATGCACTCAACGGCTTGACTTGGAAGTTTGGTTAGTCGCGATCAAAATCACTGTGTCTGATTAAGAGGTTTGATTGATTCTCTCAGGAAGGCTGCTGCGGAATATCTTTCTCGTCTAAAAGTGGGAGCCTCCCTTCAGGAGCCGCAATTAATGACATGTGATTGTTTGAGCTGCGGCCTTTCCCATCCTCACAGCACAGAGAGAGGAAACAGGAAAAAGGAACTTCAACTCCCTTGTTCTAGAAAGCAAAGGGTGGAAACACCAAATGATTGACTTAAGTTAGCAAATTAATAACTATGCATAGAATTGTTTTTGAAAACATCCTCCCCAAACATCCCCATCACAGGTTGTTACTCTGCATTACTGACAGAACAATACAAAACCAGACTAGAGAAACAGAGCACCTTCATTTACATTAGCTAACGCTGGAAGATACACCTGCAGTGTGTTTGTTGATTTCCCAGAAACAATCGAATGACCTGTTCTCGTTCCTCTTCTGCACTCCAGAGTTCATCACTTCATCTCAATGTTTGCAAACTTCACTTGACTGTTGGGTAAACCTGTGAATTATTTGTGTTTTACGGTACTTGTTCTCATCAGTGGAAAGTGTGTTTTAAATAAGATTTGGTTGTGTGCCGTCTGTCCATTCCTTGTTTTTGTTTCTTCTACAGCGTAAGAGTGGAAACCCAAGCGCAACACATGCCGTCCATTTGGATTCTAAAACAAGGTTTTTGTGGTCAACATGCTGCTGCTGCTGAAGATCTCTAGCATGTTCTGATGTCAGCCCGAGGCGTCTGAGTCTGTCAATGAAATCTGAATGTCATCAATCATTCAAAATATGTTTATAAAATCGCAGTAAAACAGACATGCACTCAACGGCTTGACTTGGAAGTTTGGTTAGTCGCGATCAAAATCACTGTGTCTGATTAAGAGGTTTGATTGATTCTCTCAGGAAGGCTGCTGCGGAATATCTTTCTCGTCTAAAAGTGGGAGCCTCCCTTCAGGAGCCGCAATTAATGACATGTGATTGTTTGAGCTGCGGCCTTTCCCATCCTCACAGCACAGAGAGAGGAAACAGGAAAAAGGAACTTCAACTCCCTGTTTCTGGACGGCAGACGAGAGGGTGGAGACACTGGGAGGAAAAGAAAGGGAGAGTTCATTTGTGTCCGAATCGAGGGATGTGTGCGGACTAGTTTTTCTGACAGACCGTCAGAAGATCTTCTCTGTGGATGTGGACGAAGCGACCGGCGTCGGCTGTGCTCCGCGGGGACCATGAGGCACCTGTCCTCCATCACGTTGTGTCTGATTGGCTGCTTGATCACAGGTAACACTGTGTTTTCATTCGCTGTTTCTCTGCTTCATGGGGCACTCGAGGCATCTGTGGTTTGTCTGTATTTGTTGTTTTTGTGGTTCTGACGCACATGAAGGAGCTTTAAGATGAAACAGACCTATGTAACAAAAGCCAAAACTTCTGATAAAATCCTAAATTATTTTGCATTATGGTTCACTTATTATGCCATTATGTGTCACTTAATATATCCAGGACAGATAATTATGGAGGTGATTCTCTTTTTTTAATTAGAAATGATTATACTTTGTTGAAATTAATCATATATTATTTTAGTAAGTTTGATGCTTTGACATGGGTGCTCTTAACCCCAAAAACGTGTGTGTGTGTGTGTGTGTGTGTGTGTTTACCTGGTGTTCCCTACATTATGGGCTCCAAATGTCCCCACAAGGAAAGTAATACCTGTAAATTTTGACCTTGTGGGAATTTTTTTAGGTCCCCATGAGAAAAATTAGAATTAAGTGATTTGAGAATCTAAAATGCCTGTAGTTTTTGTTGTGTAGGTTTAGGTTTAGGCAAAGAAGATAGAAAATACAGTTTGTACATTAGAAAAAGCATTATTAGAATGAACCCATTAAACATGGAAACCTGTGTGTGTGTGTGTGTGTGTGTGTGTGTGAGAGAGAGAGAGTGTGCGTGCGTGTGTGTGTGGTTGTAACCACCTACAATAAATTTTTGCTGTTTCTTGTGCTATACATGGCCCGTGTCCAATCATAATAAACATAATCTTTTGTGTTGAGTTTCTGTATAAGAACCCAGAGCCTTGTCATGATACTACAAAAGTGCACAGTGGACAGTATAATGATTTAGTACTCCTCCTGTTTCAATAAATAAACAAGAATAATGCAAGTTTAATTCTGTAATCCTCTTAAAGCAGGAGCTTGAGTTTCATTCTGACCTTCCTCCCCTCGTCTCTTAACTCACAGATCCACACCCCGCTTCATTCTGCCAACTCTTCACTCCCCTTTGGGCAAAAATACTCCCATCACCAGCAAGCAGAACATATTAAACAATGCAAGAGAAGAGAGTGAGCCTGACCTGACACACGAGGCATTTATGAGGAACATGCTTACAAAACGAGCATGAAAATATTTATGCAGTTTCTTTCTGCTGATGGTGGCAGAGAATATGAAACTGATCAATTACAATTAGAGCCGCACACCTGCGATGATTTATCCTTAAATATGACGCAGTGATGAAGTGGGACTGCTGTGTGTGTAGCTGAATGATGTGATATCAGACGTGTGTGTTTGTACTACTACACCCAACAATAAGAAACACATAATCATTCATCTTGACAGCTTTGTTTGGTTGTCTGTTTAAAGCCCAACACCCTTTACACACACACACACACACACACACACACTTTCTCTCTCTCTCTCTCTCTCTCACACACACACAAACACACACATACACACACTTATAGTAGTGTGTATCGGTAGGCAACATCCATATGCAAGATCTCATCCACACATCCAGTGCATGATTTTTCACATACACATACATACAGTGACAACTGCAGGGAGAGGATTTCAAAACCCTTCTCA